TTTTATTACTATGTATTGAAAAAGTGAAAAAGTTTTATGTTAATGATTTAATTTTGAAATCTTATTACTTTTTCAATTATAATGAATTTAATCTTTAAATTTATATTAAAACATCAATATAAAGAACATTGATAATAAAGTTACAACATTAATTTCATTATTTGAGAAGATGATAATATCACGTAGTAGATGACATATCTAAAGATATTGCTGATTGGAATTTTTAGTTTTTTATTTTTTTATTTGGTAATATGTCTTAAATTCATTAGTTTAGGAATTTAAAATCAAAAATAGAATAACTTATTTGCTAAATAATTCCTAATCTACATTTAGGGTTCTTAACCATTTGTGAAGACAAAAATGCAATTGAAGTCGTTTTCTAGTTAGATCATTAGGTTCGATTCCTAGAAGCATTACTAATTGACAACAGCTTCAACTTATTAATCTTGAGTATAACTAGTTTTTCCAATGAGATTCCCACTAGTTTTAGTGAGCTGCAACACCTTCAATATCTCTGTCATGATTATAATATTTTAGAAGGGACTTCACCTTTAGGAAGAGGGCTGGGAACATGACGGGCATATAGGAAGACAAGATTAAAGATGACGGCCGGAGAGTCTACACTTAGTGTTTGCTAACAACCTGAGTAAGAGGCTAACGTGGACCGCGATTGAAAGAGCGTTCGAGGAATACGATAGGGTTGTCGACGTTTATCTTCCGAGAAGATCCACATAGGATAGAACTAGAGGCGCCAACTTTGCCATTGTTACGTATCCGGAGGGCGGCTCTGAAATGGGGGAACCACCAGTGGATTGATGGGAAGCGGGTTGTGGTCAGGTGAGTGAAACCATTGAAAAGGAACGCGAATGAAGAGAAAAAAAGGAAGGATGGCAAAACAGAACACTCCACCGACCTACAGACAGAGAAAGCTTGATGGAAGGTCTTATGGGACAAAAGAGCAAGGACAGGAAAGACGATGAGAAAGCAACGGAGAGTTAAAACCCCAAAATATAATTCTTTCACAAACATTTATTTAAATGTGAAATATCTTAATTAATATTTTCATAAGCAAACCACGAAAAAATGTTCCCCTGATACAATTCACACAATCTCAAACCCATTACAAATTAAAAGAAAATAAAGCTTATTTTAGTTTAATGTATCATATTCAAATTCTTTTACTATTAACTTTGAAAAAATAAATGAATATTCCCGTAAAACATATTTTTACTTTTGTCAATGAATATAGTTCTTACTATATTCTCTATCCGTTTCTCGTTTCAATATCTCTGGATCTGGTGAAATAACTGCCGATTGGGACGTTGGATTCTTGGCAAGAAACCCTAACGGCGTCCTTTGGTCGACGTATTCGTGTAATCAGGCCACTGTTTCTGTTGACTACAAGAATCAGCCCGTGTCGGGAGGCGTGTTCCCAGAAATTCGTCTTCCCAGTAAGAAGACAAAATCTTACACCGCTAAGGCTGTCGCACTGGGTAAAAGGATTGATGACAGCCAAGTTGCAGATGCCATCACAAGGGATTGGTCACAAGGAGTTGTGGCCTTCACCGTGAGATTGGTGGACGCATCAGAAGGCTCTGGTATAAACGTTGTGAACGTCACCTGCAGCGACATTAAGGTGGCGTTTTCAAATTATTCAGGCAGCCAGGGGACAATGTTGGTTGGGCCGCAAGGTGCTCCAAACAATACTGATCAACAAGCTTTTACTCGTTGCTCATCATTAAGATAGCTTTATATATTTTCTGTAAGTTTTTTGCCTTTTTGGTAGCTTTTCAAGGTTTTTATGGCATTTTAAATTGTTACTGTAAGCCAGTTTGATCTTAATAATTATGGACCATTTGATATTTCTCATTATTCTATCAAGTTATATATTTCATTGAGGGAGATAGACATATGTTTATTATTTTAATGAAAGGTCATCTTGGAATTATATTTTTCATTGAGAAAGTGCTTATTGTTTAAACCACTTCTAAAATAATCAAATAAACATTTAATTTGAATATAAAGAATAATCTTTCTACGTTTTTCAAATTCATTAAAGCTTCACCTCCTCAGAAAATTAAGGATAAAAAAAATTTGTCAGCTTGATATTTCACTATGTATTGAAAAAGTGAACTAAGTTCTGTGTTCATGATTTCATTATGAAATCTTGTTATTATTTCACTTGTAATGAATTTAATCTTTAAAGAAAACTGGTAATGAAGTTGAAAATTTTGTTTTTTGTTTTTTGAGAAGTAGAAATGACTTTCATTAATAGAAATTAGCATATGCTGGTATGGCTTTAGGGTACTAATAGAGAGAACAAATGCTTGGATTCCTTAGCAAATAGAGTTGATAATTTTTCATAAAACGCGACATGACATAAATATAAGGTAGATATTTAAGCGAGTTTGGGTTTAAATTAATTGTTTTTTATGTTTTAATAGTGTCAAATTCTTTTGAGATTCGTCTAAGATATGATTAGTTAAAGTACTCTTATAATTTGTGGCTTGTTTATTACCCATTTATTAATTATGTTCATGTGTGGTATAAACACGTTTAGTACCTAATTAAGACACATTTATCGATATATTCATATAAATATTAATATTTTTACGTTGATTAATATTTATTAATTAATATTGACTTTTATTAAATTTGAAAAATATGATTATATTTATAATTTTTGATTGTAAATTGAAATGATATAACTATATTTTATTTGTACATATTTTAATTTAATTATTTTAATTGTTTAATTGTGTAACGAGGTAATAAATTGTATAAATATTAATAATGTCGTACAAAATTTTTGACCCGATATATTTAATAAATATATTAACTATTGTGTCGTGTTAGATATTTATTAAATGTATTCATATGTGTATTTAAGATACTGACACAATTAAATCGTATCATGCTTGTGTTTATTCATATAACTTTAAATATCTTTATTTATACAACACGATTAAAATACACGAATGATCAAATCTAAAAAACAACCACATAGACAAACACTAATCATAAACTTACATTCAATACAATTTCTCGTAACATAACAGCACTCCCATCATTCAACATAGGCATACTTGTTTTCTCCCTTTACACAGCCACTTGAGCCACAACATGGGCAGCACAGGTTCCATTTAGCATAGTCCTAGGGTAAATGTCATATGATCATCCATTATTGCAACCTACCCCGTCTTCAACAAACAGCTACCAACAGCATAGAGCCACCACAAAAGCATCAAAGATTTTACTTCGATTCATTTTTAAAGGGACGTAGTCAGAGAGATGACGCGTGATGAAATTAATCATTCAGTGATCTGTTTTAATTTAACACAATCAACCCTTGTTTCATGAGTTCCTCTTTTATCGCAACCTCACCCCTCAAAACTTGTCACAGAAATATTTCAAACTTCGAATGGAGTCGATCTCACCCATAGTGGTTTCCATATGTCTTCGTTCTTTCCTTCCATTCACTTCCTTACAAAAAGCTTTTGTATTGCCACTTAGAATACCTTTCCATATCAATTTATTTGTGTTCAAAAACTTTTCCATGAAAAACATTAGAAGGGGTTTCTATTGAATGAGTCCATTGAGTAAGTTTCCAGTAGAAAACTGTGTCTTAACTCAATTATATGTGGCCTTCCTATTCTAACCTGTAACTGCTAAGACATTTAAGGAATATATTGGAATATATAGAAGTCAACACGTATTAGATATCAAGATGCACTTCACCTATTCTGGCGGATAAGATGCCCGGAGTGAGAGATGATTGTATTGATTGTAGTATTAAGTCTGAGGGCATTGGGTATGATGATGGCTAGGCTGGTTGGATGATACCAGGGTGGTCCTGAAGTGAAGGTCATTGGGTATACGATGAATGGCTAATCGAAGTTGCTGGAATATTTTTGTATGTTCTGTTTGTGGCTTGTGTATGGGCTTTGGTTTTGCTTGCATTTGTGTTGTTGATGTTGTCTGTGTTCTCTGTACTGACCCCAACTCTGGTTGTGAACTTCTCTCTTTGCTATTTTTTCATTTCTGTTCGGACTGACTCTGGTGGCTTTTGTTGTGCCATAAGCTGATGTGTTCGGGGGGCTTGGAAGAAATGGTGTCTAAGCCTTGATCCTTGAGGTGGAATTTCTCTGGTTGTGATGAATGGCTTGTTGAAGTTGCTGGGCGGTCCTTGTTTCCTCTGTTTAGGGGTCGTATGGTATTGGGTCGTTGGTTAAGCTCAATTGCATTTGAGATAAATTTCATGCGCCATGGAACTTTGCTGTGATCACTCACCCAGTTTATGGCATTGGTGGAATCGCTTTCCACTTGCAGCTGATGAGTTGTGGCCAATGGGGAAGAGAGGAAGAAGCTGATTCTGTTGGCAGACTGAACGAGGCGTCCCTTTGTCCTGGTGTGATCTGTTGTTGAGGTCGCAGCCATGTGGTTCTGATTGTATGTCTGGTGGTTTTCTATTAGTCTAAAGGGCAGATATTCTACTCTATTTCTGTGTTTTATTCTGTAGTTTGCTCATTCTCCTATGCTTATTATAAAGACTTGGTTTGTTTAACTCTCTCTTGGTACCTTTGAATAATTGCCTTATTAATGAAATTTTATGCTATGAAATGCAAATAACAAACAGCTGTTACTTCCCCGATTAGGCCTGTAAGTATTGCAATGTATAAGCATTTCATAAGTTAGATATGGTACTCAAGTTCATTGAAACATTCTACGGGTTTATATCCCAGCTTAGTTTGTTGCTATAAGGTTGCTTGGAGAAGAGGGTAATCAACATTACAGGCCAAATGCTCATTTGAGTAGGGATTTCAGGCTGCTGACCACAACATGTTATACCCGTAGGCCATATCTAATGCGATGCCAACAAACTTCTGCTTCAATGCTGTTGCATGCTGGTGGAGCTATTTCTGTGGGTAAGTGGTGAACGGAAATTGGGAAATAATGAAGAAAAGTTTAAGCTGAGTTCCAAAGACGAAAGGAGGTTTTTGTTAAGGTATTCTTCTGCCATATCTACCAGCTATGAGCTGGTCTTGATCACAAACAATGATAACTAGCAAAGCCTAAACTTAGGATTGTCTCCAATGGAAATAGACCATGGAGAGAAAGTTTCAAATACCTAATGATTGTTTGCTCAGTATATAGATCATAGCATGCTTAATGTAGTTTAAAGCATTGAACTGCATTTACATCATTCACTGCTTACTGTAGTTTAAAGCCTTCATCATGCAGGATGTCTTTCCATTCTTCCCAAAAAGAAACAGCTGAATTAGCTATTTGCTACTGATCACGATTTTGACTGCAATCCAATAGCTTTAGCTCTCCTCTTTCCTCGACTACGAACTCTGAAAGAGAGAGAAAGAAATATAGACAATAAAAAATCCATTAGTGGGGGTTTCAAATAATTAAACTGAGGATTTAAATCTGGAACTTACTTAGAATTTGCATGGGATACACTTGATTTATCTGCAAGGCTGAGGGATGCAAATGATCTGGACATGATATCATCTTCCCGGCCAACACTCTGCATAAGGCAGTCCTTCATTGGCCATCTCATTGGAACAACCAAATTCCTATCCAAGTATTCATTGATCAAGAACAAAGATTTCGTATAGCAGAAAATGTAAAATAGGATGCATTTGATCATTAAATAATGAAAATTATTAGCGTATTAGTATCCTAAACTCAATCAAATAAACAATATCATGCTACATTAACATTGCCAATCTAGGCCTTTTGAAGTAAACACTATCCATTTTTGGATCACAACAAGGAAAAAGATGCCAGGTGAGTTAAAGGGGATAATGACTTACCCTTCCAAACACTTGCATTTGCAGCGACTCATCTTATTTATTGTGTATTTGCCAAATACGGGCTCTAAATTCTTTGCAACATTTTGTATATCCAACGATGGCAAAATGTCCCAAACCGTCAAAATTTGGATAAAGTGTGAGTTTTCCTCGATGACATCTACACTCCAAAGGAGATTCAAGAAACCATTGACTGGATACACCTCTAGCACGCCAGAAGAACCACCTACAGCAATGTGTTTATTCTTCCTGTGGTTCTTTTGCTCTCGAGTTTGACGCCAACCACTTGAAAGCTTTTCCAACAGGTTAAGAATTTGCTTAAGTAATTCTGGGTTTTTAATGCTTGCCACAGATTTCTTAAAATCCTTGCTCAAGCATACCTGTTTCAAGATGACAGTAAGTGCCTACTTCTTCTTCTTGAGCAGAAAGTAAGTGCTATTAGTACACTAAAAAGGGCAACAGTCCTCAAGTCCTAAACAAATATAACTAAAACAAAGAGAAATGTAATAAACCAGCATACCCTCCATCTTGCCTCCTTAAACAGTGGAGAGTCCATGCTCATTAGACTATCAAATTGTTTAAGCTCAAACAAGGCAGTAGTAATAGCTTGAGCCAAATGCTTGTCCTCATCAGCATTATAGAAACAACCCCTGCTCCTGGCATCAGTAACTAGTTTCTTCCATACAGAACCACTTTTAATAAATGTAGCTTCATTCCCCAATATCCAGAGGCAATGCCTGTAGAACAGACAGAACAAGTGGCAAAGTTACTAAATGCTCTCAACATAGGAATTTTTGGAGTTTAGCTATATTCTGATCTATACTTACCTTGCGCGTGTCAGTGCAACATTTGCCCTTTGATCATTGGATAAAAAACCGATTGACCCATTTATGTTACACCTGACAGTAGAGATGATTATCACATCCTCCTCGCCTCCTTGAAACCCATCAACAGAGCGAACGCTAACAGTGAAGCCACTATCTGCACATTCACTGTATTTATTTTCGAGCTTCTCTTGAATTGCTTGAACTTGAGCCTTGTAGGGTGATATAACACCAATGCAAACTTTTTGTTTTGTGCCAGTGAACTCTGTGATGGGAAGAATGTATATTAGCACCCAAACAATTATAAAGGAGTAAACTGAAATAATTCCACAATGTCCTTGCAAACAAACTTTGAATCAATTTTTTCCATGTCTTTTTCTTTCACTTCTTCAATGAATTTGAAAACTATTGCTAGTTCATATAAACCATACCTTTGAAGAGGTTAGCAACTAACTTACAGACCACAGCAACCTCAACCATATTTTTTCGACTATGCAGATGATCAAATTGCTCCTTTCCACAGGTTACATTGATAAATGAGTAGGTGCCATACATGCTCCCGTGAAGAAAATGCTTCTCATGGCTTCTGTCTTTTACATTTGGAGCATCCAAAATTTTACCATCATAGAATTCCTCATTCGGAAATGAGCTTATAGCTGGATGCATCCTATACTGGACATTGAGTAATTGTTTCTTTTGTCCTATTAAGACGAGCCTTTCAAACAAACTTCTTGCGAATGCAGCCTTACCAGAAATCTGTTGAAGGTACAAATTGTACATATTAGACCAGTGAAAACCTTAAAGAAATAATAAGTTGAAAGAAAGACACTAGAAGGATAGAATGCTAAACCTTGCTTTGGGTCATGGCAGGCAGTTGGTGCTCATCCCCTATCAGAACAGCATGGCGGAGACCTGGAAGTTGAAAGGGAATAGTTGATTCACATTCTCTGAGCTGAGCAGCTTCATCAATAACCAACAACTCCAGTGGCACTGTTCTTTTTGGATTCAATTTAAAAGAGCTTGATGCGGTACAGAAAAGTAGACAAGCATTATCCAAGCAAAAATTTTTTATAATGATTTTTTCTCTGAATTCTGGAACCGGAAATGACAGAGGAAGTGATTTGAGTCTCTGCAGGCAGTGTTTCCTTGCAACTCTCAACTTTGCAAAGTGACCAATCTCACTTTCAGTTTCAGTATCATTAAGGGCAATCTTTAAGCCTTCATCACTCTTAGGACGATTTAACAAAGATTCAAGGGAACCGAGCAAATTGAGAGCTATCATCATGGTCTTCACCAGGTCTAATGAAATAAGATGAGTTGGTAAGTGAGTGTACAAGTTTACAAGACAAAATTTCAGCCGCTCATTGAAGAGACAAAATCTCTTCTTGATGAATTCCTGCAAAGTGATAGGATCCTCCTTACATGTTTCTGCTTCTGCTTCTTGTGCATTTTTTTTCCCTAGGAAAGCTCCATGTGTGCCCTGTTTCTCATCAGGCTTTAAATGATTCTCTTTCTCAGAAGCTACATGTTTATTCTTGGTTTCTTTTTGTTTCAAGGTCTCATTGATAACTTTTCTCCATAAATTCTTGCTCTTCTTGTCCTTGAGGTTCACATCACATTTTTCCCCTTCCAGTTTATGGTTGGTGCTGTCCTTGTCCTTGAGGTTCTCATCACAGTTTCCCTCCTCCGTTTTCTGGTTTTCCAGTACTCTATTCGCTAAGTACTGAGAGTACTGCCTTTCAGGGTCTTCAAGCAAATCTATCATTGACACTAAACTAGTCCTCCACCCACAGTATGGTGAAAAACACTTGTCCAATATCTCCACACGATAATCAAGAAATACATCAAGAAGATCCTCATGATCATCAATCTTCATTCTCTCTCCATTCCCAAATAAAACTATATCCCCAAATCCGTGAGTGTCATATTCAAGTGTCCCTTTAACTAAGCTCATGAGCCTTGATGCCACTTCCACCACTGCAATGTTGGTTGGAGCACATGTAATTGTCCCGCATTTCATTCTAAGAAGAGCATACAACAACAAACCAACTGTTTTAGTTTTCCCTGTCCCTGGAGGACCACATATGAGTTTTACAGTATTTTGATGATGGCAAGCCCGTGTATTAATGCAACTTATAATTGCAGCTTCTTGGGAATCATTTAACTCGTTAGAATTAAATGGAAGAACAGTGCCAGATTTCTTTTCAGTTAAGCACATGGGACAGTCTTCTTCATCCTGCAAAAACCCATAATGAAAGAAACATTAGCCAAGGGAATAAGATTTCATGCACAATTACAGCCAAAATTAATACACTTCATCAGGATGAAATCAAAATTCTTACAGCTCCATTCATTTGAATAACTTTGTTGATCATCTTAAGGTTCCCTCCCTTAGGATCTGGGTGCAAAGCCTTCCATATTCTAATATTTGTAGTCATGTTAGCTAAAAAGACAAAAAAGAGAGTAGGCTTCTGCTGAGATATGTTCTCTTTTCTTTGCATATCTTCTTCAATCATTATTGGCTTTGATGACCGTATGAAGAGTTCATCAGGATCCTCCTTAACTGCTTGGACATATGCAAGAAGATAAGACATTTTTGACCGGTTCAAATCACTGGTGCACTTTGGTCTCACATCTGTTAAAGTGACAAGATCTCCACTCTGTGGATGATATGTTGCTAAATCATTCTTTTTAGAGTCCCTCTTTAAAACAATCTTATAAATCAAGTCTTTGGGAGGTTTGTAACGGCTATCCCTTGTAACAGAATCTAGTTGACGTGAAGGTGCCTCAGACACCCTTGTCATGCCTGAGAGCAAGTCTGCATGTGTTTCCTCAATAAGAGGAGCAACAAAGGAGTGCAAGTACTCTGAAGAAGAATTAAATGTCTCTGGGATCTTCTTCACCTGCTCATTTCAATCAGAAAAAAGGGAAAAAAAAGTCCAGGAAGATTAGAATGTTAACAACAATACTTAACAACAAAGTAACTAAACACTTGTATAATCTATTGAACACAGCAATGGATTTATATCAACAGACTTCACTAAAGGGATACAAAAATAGGGTAAAGCATATATATTGAGATCAATGAACATTTTAGGATCCATATATATTCCATGCATTTGATTTTCTTGCATTACTTTTGCATATTCAGTGTCATACCTATAAAATTTCTGAACTTCTACCAAGTGTTGAACTAGGGAACAATGGATTAAAATGAAGAGTTCATTAAACATAGCTTCAGACCAAAGAAGGCGTGAGGAAGTACAAATGCAAGAGGAAAGTGAAACACAACAAAAACAAATTACAAATGCTAGAAGCATATATATAAACATTGAACAGAATCTAGAGCAAAAAATTGTTGAAGTTGCCAAATGCATCTATCTGTATAATACCAAAGGGCTTGTGGGCAAGCATATATAGTATGTATATATATAATAAACCTGGCCTTTGTAAAGATTTTTGTTGAGGGCATCTCCAAAAGACCAAGAAAACACTAAATCTATCAAGCTTCTTCCCTTATCAGTTTTTCCTTTCTTGGAGCCACAACCACTCCCACTCTTGTCCATGACTTTGAAGTTTCTTCTGAAAGTTGAAAGCAAGTTTGCTAGAAAAGTTCCTCTTACAAGTGTATATAGAAAAAGGCAATGACTACTCGAAAAGTCTACTCAAAGCTCCTCACGCAAAGGATTTGTTCACTAACTTTCGCTCTTGCGTATCTTTAGCTCTGATATAAAGTCAAGCAATATAAGGTCAAGCAGTCAATTATGAATTAGCTTTGGTAAAATTTGAAATGAGGAAAGTGGGGGTATATTTTTTGCAATATGTTTTATTATATTATATTATAATATTTATTTTGTAATAAATCATTATAATACAATCACATTACAATCAATAAATATAATGTGATTATAGTTTAAAATCAATACAATCAGAGATTGTATTGTACTTTACAATGTTATTAAAGATATTTTTATCTTTTATCTTTGTTATTTTGTTAAAAATATTTTATAATATTATAATTTATTTTTTATATATAGATTTCAAGAGATGTCTTTTTATTGTTTTCAGTAATCATGGTAACTATCACTAAAATTTATATTATATTTTGAAGAAAAAAATTAAAATAAGATAGATAATATAAAAAATTATATTAAGAAATAAAAATAAAATATATAAGATTATAATAATAAATAAAAATAAAATATATGATATTAAAAATATATTTAAAAAATAATATTATATAAAAATTAATAATAAAAAATATAAGTATATTAAATTTATATTTTAATAAATATAGATAATTTTGAAAATTGACATTATAATACTAGTAAAGTACTTGTAAACAAAATATAAAAATGTTATCTTCTCTGCATTTTAATCATTATTTTGTTTATATACCAAACACTGCAATCACATTATATGTAATGCATATTATATTGTAAAATACCAAACACCACCTTAGAGTAAAATATGTTAACACTCTCAACTTTTAACTATAATTATGAGCGTTTATTGATTTTTGAAGTAAACATTTTACTTTCAAAAAAATAATTTCCCTAGACAAAGTCATACCATTAGTCAACTGTCAATATTTTTATTAATTTAATGATAATATAATATTTTTAAAATATTTTTATTGTTGAAAAAAAAATATTTTTAATATTTCATATTTAGACATTAATACTATTTATAAGTTTGAAATAAATTAATAAACTCACATATTATTATAATTAAAAATTAAAAGTATTTGTATAGTTTACCCATTAACTTATTATGTACTGAAACGGTTAATAGTGATTGTATTGTAAGGGAGACTAATGGCTGGACGCGCTTTGAGCTTCTCTTTTCTCTCTCAGGTCCCAACAAGTAGGGAGTTTTATTTTTGCTAACTGCAATTTATTTACTATTAGCAATTATCTGCATTTGGAAATTGCATTTTTCTTTTTCAATTGAGCATTTACATGTTCACATCATCTTATTGTGGGATTTTTTAAGAAAAAAACAAAATTGTAACCTCCAATAAATTAAAGCGTGAAATACCTTTTAAAAGTTGATAACACCAGCATTTTTTAACTCCGAAGTATTTCATTTCTTTGCTTTATGGGAAGGCTCACCAACTTGTAAATCTTAGTCTGCTTCCTTTGAGGTCAGTACAATCATTGAGTGACTGAAAGCTGTGAAGAGAGCGCCATCCCACCCCACTTTGTCCCATTATTGGCTGAATTCTTAGTAACCAAGAAAGAGTTAAAGTCATCTCATCGGATCGGATCGGAATTTAGCTGCGCACTCCGTCATATTGTGAAGTTGCTGACTGCCCATCGTAGTCTGTGACAAAAGTTGACCACAAACTTTGAACATGTTCACATCATATCTTTTTCTTTTCTTTTCTTTTAAGTATGAATGGAACATAATTTTCCTTTCTCTTGGATTTTGGAGGGGCAGACTTCGCCATTGGTGTTGCTTGATTGCCCTGCTGTGTTGCAACATTTGGGTGAAAAATTAAGAGTAAAATAAAACAAAAAAAAAAAGAAATCTGTAATGCCTTGAGACGGGCAAATGGTGTTAATTTAATAAATGATTATGTTTTAATTATAATATAAGAAAAGGAAAGGATTTTTCTTTCGCCTGTGGCACCTATTAAAGTTTGTCATAAAGAAAAAGTTATCAGATACATGGATGTTTTTAATCTTTATAAACAATTTCAATAATTGGTAGCTACCAAATTTATAGTAAAAATAAATAAATTTGCACAATTATTTGAAATGGATACATATATATTATTAGTTAAACTCATTTGTAAAGTTTTAAAACTTTGATATATAAAATAATAATTGTAGTAATTAATTATATTTTAAGTCAAAAAGTGCAAGATTTTTTTATCTTGGCCCTTCAAAACTATAGAACATGGCCCCCCTCTTAAAAAAATTATAATTGATATGATATATGCTTTATAATTTTCTAGTTTTAGTATTAATAATCTAATCACTAATTTGACTTTTTTATTTTTTTTTTGAAAAAAAAAAGTTTTGTTTGACAAACTTTAATTATAATTGAAGTCCAATGCATTGGTTCCAATTTTGATACACGTCAGAGTTGCATGAAGACAACCACCCCATGAAACAGTCACGTAAAAGAAATATCTATTAAATTACGTACCTATTAAATATCTATTTTCTTTCACTTCCTACATCCTTAGAATTCCAACTATTTATCTCATTTTTCTAATTACGTAAAAGTTAAAATAATTAATAAAATAATATATTCTCTTACTTTTTTAATTATGTACTTAATAAATCTCTATTTTTTATCACTATTCAATTTTCACAATGTTATTAATTCTCAATTAATTTTCTTATTTCCAATGAATATAATATATATTTAATGATCTTTGACTAATTGTAATTTTTTTAATTTCAATAAAAAAATCTCACTCGAATATTTAGGTATTTTAGGCTTTTAAAGCTATTGAGCCGTATCTGAAAATACTTTTTTCAAATAAAAAAAATGAATACAATATTCTCAAAGTTTTTGAATTATTTAAGAAAATTTAAATAAATCTTTATTCTTGTTATTACATTCAATCAAATTCTTATAATTTTATTTTGAGTAAAATAAGCTTTTATGATTAATGGATTATTAATGGTCATTAGTCGAAATATCATTTGTCATTTTATACTCACATGGCATTGACTTAACACTGATGTTGGAGTGAAAAATGCTATATGATTATTGTTAGATAGTTTGTAATATAAAGAAGTCTTATTCAGATGTGATTATTCAAATTAAATTGACTATTTAAATTAAGTATTTATTTAAATTAAGACATGATGAAGCATTTTCAAATATATTTGTTGAAATACGTTGATTAATTATTTAGTATTTTCAACAAGCATATTTCTTAAAACCAAACAAGATATGTCTATTAAAACAAATTAAACACAACTTTTCAATGTCTATAAAAAGAACACATATTTAACCAGACCTTATTCATTCAAAGTATTCTACAATAAGCTTGTTGAGTCCTTATTTATAAATCCCCAAAGTAGACAACAACTCTTAAAAGAAAGTACGTTACAGCGACAACAACTCTTAAAAGAAAGTACGTTACAGCACGCATCAAGCATTCTTTCTCTTTTTTTCATATTTTGTTTTCTAACAATCAGGTCATCGTACCAATTAGCATGTTAGGCCATTATAAATTATAATATGTCAGTATGATATGTCAATTATAACATATTAATATATCATATTTACGTTATATGATATAAAATGATAAGTGACATTTTAACTAAGTCAATCATTAATTATAAGGACTTATATATGACTCAAAGAAAGTATAAAAACTTATTTAACTTGAAATTAAAATATAAGGGTTTAATTGAATGTGTGAAAACATAAAGATTTATTTAAATTTTTTAAAATAATTTAAAAGTTGTTTTAAATTTTATGTAAAAAATATACAATAAAATATATAAAGAAAAAAAGGAAAACATAGTAGTAGCGGAGACCAAAATAATAATAAAAAAAATTGGACAAAACTGTCTAGACCAAGAGCACCCCACCGCCTTTGAAAATTTGCAACTGCTATATCCACAAATCTCTCAATTTTTTCTTTTTATAAATATGCTATGAATATGCCGTAGTACAGTAAGACAATAACTGCGTTTCTTTCTAAAGAGTAGAAAAAGGAAAAGAAAAGAAAACCCTAATCAACAATCAATCTGGTGATTCATAGGCATGGGTGAAAATTCCTGGAAAGGAAAGAGAAGCATTGATAAGAGAAAGATCAAGTCCTCCTGTCGTGTCACGGTTTTTGAGAAGATTTTGCTGGAGATAAACAGCTTCTCTCAGCTCTGTACGTACGTTTCTTGCGCCCAAAGGAATCTCGCCAAGTTTTCCAACGTTTTCTTTCGAGAGAGCATCGACTTGGTGTCTTCGAATTTGTTCCGAGCCGTGCCCCATTCTTCTACCAATGCAAGAGCTGCCATTCGGTTTGGGGAGTCCTATTACATCAATAGGATAAACGGAATCGACGATATCTCTTTCCAAGATCCCTCTTGGCCTCATCTGGAATTAGTTTATAGGTTCCTTTCTTCGTTACTCAAGTCGCCCATGACGGATCCTCAACTGGCTGCTCCTTGCATTAAGCCCTCTTTTATCCTTAAGTTGTTGGATCTTTTTCAATCTGAAGATCAAAGGGAAAGGGGTGCTTTAGTTTCTGTTCTGCAAGTTATCCATCGGAAATTTGGTGTGCATAGAAAACTTATCCGAAATTCTGTTTTCAATGTGTTCTATTGTTGTGCGAACGAAAAACATAATGCTATCCCACACCTGTTGCTTTTCCTCATAAGTGTTGTCGTTGAAGAAGAAGATGATGATGATTTAGGGGTACAAGAGGAGTTCAGGCTCTTCCTTGTTCGAGGGCTGATTCCGCCTTACAAATCAAAATATCTTGTCTTGTTCTACTTACACTTGAATAGCTGCATTCAGAAATTCGTGGAAAAGGATTGCAAGCTTGCTGATACTGTTATACAGGGGATGCTTAGGCATTGGCCAACCGTGGGTAGTGCCAGAGAGTACTTCTTCTTGGATGGGGTTGAGAGGGTTTTAGAGGAATCACAGCCTGATGGATTTCAACTATTTATGATACCTTTGTTCCGCCGCATTGCCAGCTGCTTGAGTAGTCCACATTTCAAGGTGGCAGAAAAAGGCTTGTCTTTGTTCAATATTCATGGTAACATTCAAAAGTTAATTAAACAGAATTTGGATGTTATCTTGCCAATTATCTTTACTGACTTAGAAGAAAGTGCAATGAACCATTGGAGGCCTGAAATACAAAAGTTGGCGCATCATGTTCGCAATTCTTTGATAGGTATTGATCCCGAATTATATGAGGAATGCTTGATGCATTTGAAGTGATATCAGCTTTATAATGCGCATCTTGCGTTGACAAATATTGGATTAATTCCTTAGAGAAGGATGGCGCCATGGATGAGGTAGGTTGGTGGACAATGCCCTGGCTGTCCAATAGACCACTTACCGGTGAGGACCCGAGAAAAGAGATTGTTTGGGTCCCTCCAAGAGATGATGAGCTGAAGATCAACGTGGATGGCTCCACTTAGAAGAAAATCAGGTCCGGTCGAGTGTGGTGGTGTTCTTAGAGATAAAGATGGGAATATGGTGGGATTCCCTTTTCGTTGGGATGCTGAGTACACGAGAATCCAATAATGCATGAAGTCTTGGCTATCGGAACACCTCTTCTGCATATCCTCCTAGATAGGTTTGAAGTTTTTAGTGATGGAACCCGACTCTAGTGTGGCTGTTTCATGGTTGAACAACACGGCAACTAGACCTAGGGCAAGCTAGAAATTATTCTCTGAAATTTTGACAAGCTTAACAAAGCAATAGGCAGAATGGTTTTCGTTCATATCTTCAAGCAAGGAAACGAAATTAATTAGGAGTTGATCATAATGTTATGTTCTTTGCTTGTTAGTGAAAATTGAAGTTAACCTTCAATTCAAGTACTTTTATTTTCTGTAACTCCAATTTCAGTTCAATAAAATAACTTTATTATTTGCATTTTTCTAATCAATTAGATTCAATAATTATCCACTTAAAAAGGAGTTCCAAATCAAATAATTTTAGTGTGTATTTTTGTCTACACAATCACACACTTATAGTATATATATAGTCCAATCAAATAAATATAATATAGTATTGGAGTTGAGTTTGAACTCAATTCATTTTATATAAATTTTGAATTTGTATTTTAATACAACTTTTTTTTTTTACTTGAACTTCGATTTAATAATTAACTTCCTCTTTGAATTTCTCTTAATTAGTTCAGCCATCATTAATTTAGAAAGAAATTCGAAAGTTAAATAAAATCAGTATTTACATCTATGTAGTATTTATATATGTACATTATATTCTAGTATTAGTATGGGAAAGGTATCAATTGAGCTTGTTAGTACTTAAAAAAAATTAAGCTTGTCATTTAATTTTTAGCAACGTTTGGAAGAGCCTAATAAATACATAATATTCAAGCAGCAGCACAAATCCTACTCCTAGTTAGTTATCGCCACGTCAACTAACAAAAAAAATTAAAAATATTCATATTTTATACTAAGATATATTTGATTTACTTTTAGCGAATTGATTTTACATGGTGTCAATTAATCATATATGATCATTTTATTAATAAATAAATTTTAAATTTTAAAAATTCTTAAAAATAAATAAACGTAATTAATATTTAACAATCAAATATAAACAATCAAATTTAATCCAAATACAAGTAATTAAAGACTCTTTGGCGGTTTGACTTATAAACCCAAATCCAGGAAGGATATAGACTCAATACGAAGCTTATATACATATATATGAACCAAGTGTTATAATAACATTCGTTCAGAAATCTTTCACAAGCAAATTACAGCAAAAAAAAAAAATTCAAAGAAATTACGATATGGCTGACGTTAATCTTCCTCCTCTATGTGCGAAGGGTTGCGGCTTCTATGGTTCGTCGGAAACCAAGAATTTATGCTCCAAGTGTTACAAGGATTTTCTCAAAGAATTGGTCTCCAAATCTAAAGCTGAAGTGAAAGTCAATACTTCTGCAACTGTACCATTCCCTTCTGTTTCTGTTGATTCTTCGGTGTGAAAGTTGCAACAAGAAGGTAGGTTTGATGGGATTTTCTTGTAGATAGGGAAAAGTTTTCTGCGACTTTCATGGTTATCTTAAAAAATATTTATGTAATTTTGATTTCAAGACAATTGATCGTTTGATTTTAATTAAAAAAAATCCTTTTATTAAGTCAGACAAACTATAATTAAGGATTTGATTGTCATTATTGTTTCTAACATTAATTTATTCTTGATTTTTTTGGTAATTTGTTTTACATGTTGATTAGGTATTTTTTTAATATATTGTATTCCTACTTCAATTTATTTTAAATTTAATTTTGAGGTACAGAATTCATTCTTCATCCACAAAAAAGGAGTTTTGGAAGTAATTACGAGATTTTGTATCTAAATTTTTATTTTTATGAATATAAAAGAAAAAATAAATTTTACTTAGTAATTATATTTTGTTTATTTAATTTAAAAATTAAATATTTATTTTCGAAGTAAAAAATACTAAAATCAGTGATTGAGTTGTGTCGGCCATGATTGGGCCAGGTGACATTGGTTATGGCCCGAAGCTAAGGGAGCCCATCCGTCCAATGCCCGCCCTCCTCAACGTTTAAATCCAAAGTAACCGCACCTCGTATTCACCGTCTAAAAAGTCGAACTGAGAAAATGCTGCTGACGGTTTTCTTCATTTCCCTGTTGCTTTTTCTTCTTCTCTCCGCTCTTCTGGTCAAGTTTGCCATTTCTGATGGTGAAGTATTCTAAGAAACCCTAACATATCTTCTGTTTTCAAATTTGGTTGCTTTTGTGCTAATTTCGTCATATTTTTTAATTCTTTCTTTTGTAAATTTTTTTATCCATTTCAGGAGATTTTACTGTAACCTCAAAAAGGCATGTAAAGCGTGAAGAAATTGAAGACAAGGTAACTCTATTTTTTCTGAAATTTTTTAGTGTTTTCTTGCTGATTTTATATGGTTTTTTATTTTTTATTTTTGTTAATTGGTTAGGTTGTTTGGATTACTGGAGCTAGCCGTGGGATAGGTAAATTTTCTACTAATATTTAATTAGTTTATGTTGTTTTCTTTTTATTTATAAATTTTGTCCGTTTGGTAAATTTGCATCTCATTTTGAGTTTACGAAATTGCTTCATTACATTTTATGCATAACAAAATGGTTTACGGGGTTGTTTATTAATTTTTATATTTCTTTGGTAATTATATATTTTTTATATTGGTTTTGGGACTTAGAGCATATATAGTTTATGAGATAAAAGGGTTTAAGTTTGACTCTTAATTTCTTCTGTTATGCAAATTCATGATTTAATATCCTTTTTTGTTACCTTATTTTAAATTGTGCCAAATATAAGGGAAATATTTCGTACCTACTTCATTATTATTAATCAATGATGGAACTCTATGGTTCCAATTGGAATCAAACTTTGATTTTTCTAGGTACGAGAAGTAATCTATTCTTTGCTGCTGGGTAGTAAACAATAAATGACAACAGAAAAAGGTCAGCCTAGGTGGTTTGAGTTAATGCCAAACCTAAATGCACCATATTGCTGCTTGGCCAGCTGGTAAATAACTTCACAACTGCTCAAATCAACAGAGAAGTTCATCTCTTTGGACAATGATGCCCGGGTAAAAGTAGTGGAGGGTGGGGAGTGTTTCTGGCATCTTGAATTGCCTACCAAAGTTTAAAAGGACTTAATGGGTAGTTCAATCATAACTTCAATCTTGCACGTTAGAAGAACATATTTGGTGGTACTAGAGGATACACTCTATTGTGTAGGTGTAAAAGATGTGGTCGTTGTCTATAGTTGATGGAAGATAACCTGTTATTAACAGAATCCCTTTATGGCAATTTAAAATCAAGAAGTGTGTCATAATTTTTAGTGGTAGTTGTGACAAGTGAAGCTGAGGGCTTCTTTAATTTTCAAAAGCAATTTTAACAGATTCCTACATGCTTTTTTTATCCCTTTGAAGAAACAAAGATGTCTTTTTGGCTCTATCTCTTAATTAGGAAATTGGTGTCTGAAAGTTTTTTTCTGAATTTTTTGGTGTTTGACAAACATGGGAAATTTTGGTTAAAATAAAAGGTCTTCTTGTCAAAGAAAAAAACACGAAGAAACTTTGGAATTGTCTTCCAAATTTGAGGAAAAGAAGACAATTTCCTTAAACACATTTGAAGCTTCTTGTACTTTTACTTCACTTTTGCTTTTCTTTTTGTTCTCAACTTTTGGACCAAATAAATCTATTGCACAGATGTTTTAAATTTATAAATTTAAAAAATGAGATATAAATAAATAAATAAAAATGTTAAGTATTGGTTAATATTATAAAATTTTAAAATAGAATAAAAAGAATAGAGTATAATGAATTATTATTATTATTATAAATAAAATAGTTAAGATATAAATTTAAAATAGTGATTTTTTATTATAAAATATTATCATTTCATAATATCAATATTAATTAATTTATATTTATAATAAGACAATGATTAATATTATGCTAGTATTAAAATATATTATATCAATATTAATATATGAATAATTATTTGAAATATTAATTCATATTATTAATATTTTTTAAATAGAATAATGTCATAAATATAATAAATAAAATATTTTTATAATGAATTAATCTATGTTGATAAAATAATTATTAATATTAATGTTAGTGTAAAAAATATTTTATCAATATTAATATGTAAATAATTGCTATCAATAATAACTTCTATTATAAACATTTTAAATAGAACATAGTTATAGAATATAATAAATTATATATTATTATACAATATTATTAGTATAAATTAATAAGTATTATATAAAAATTAATTTATGTTATAAATATTTTAAAATAAAATGAAATAAAATGTAAGAAATATTTTTAAATAACATAAAACATTACAATTGTATTAGCATTATAACGTAAGGATAATTTTTAAATATTATTATTTAATCTATTACTATATTACATTAAACTATATACTTCTTTAGTTAACATATACATTATATTATATTACACTATACAATGTTTAATGTATTATTGTTTTAATTATATGTTGTATATATTACAATTTCATTATATATTTAAATTAATTATTTATTCTATTATTGCATTTATCATTTTATGATTGTATTTTTCATAATAATTGTAAAGTTTTCTATGTTTGAATTATAATTTTTAAAAAATTAGAAATATAAATAAATAAATAATATATTTAAATAAATAATTGTGAATATAATACAAAATTGTATTATAATATAAATTATTTTTATA